AGAAGCAGAAGCAGGAGCAGGCGCAAGAGGCAAGAACAGCAGCAACAGCAATAGCTACTTAAGCATCCTTAAGCCGCACTCACCTGTCGCAGGCGGGCGCACCTGCAATCAATCAAGCTGTAAAGTATTTATTAAACGATATTATGAGGTTTACCAGCAGATATACTCATACACACACACGCGCACACACGCACACACGTACACACATATTTTTTTAATAGCTTCATTGTTTCTCTTAACAGGATTTCATTTCACTTAATACACCAACACAGAGGCATGCATTTATACACACACACACACACACACATATGTATATAAAAAAGCTACAGCTGCCAGTTGGCATTAGGCGCCCCCTGCAACGCCCTGCCACGCCCTCACCTGCCTCTATCATTACTGGCTTTTATTGTTGTTGCCGGGGCACACTTGTTAACCCGACGTTTGCTTCTGCCCGGCGGCATTTTGGCGCTGCGCTCAAATGAAGCCAGCGAAACGTTGACGGTCCTGGCCTCAACAGCTGGCAGGTAGTTCAGTTTTCTCACAGGATTTTTCATAGCAGCAATCAAGGCGGCTCCAATGGCTATCACAGTGCAGAGTTTCCGCTCCGGCGCTCCATTTCCCTTTCCGCCTTCAGTTTTTTTTGTTTTCTCCCTTTTTTCCTGCTTACCTAGCCGTTGCTTTTCATTCTCCACCATTTATTGTTGTGCTTGTTATGTGCTACGACTTCAGCTAAAATTCTAACTCTTAGCTGCTTTTATTTTTATTTTTATTTTTTTTTGTTAATTTCATTGCCATTTTTATTATTTCATGCGCTTTGAGACTCGTTATTTTTGTCGCTCTTGCTCTCCCTCTCTCTCTCTCTCTCTCGCCCTTTCTTACTTCCTACAGTTGAATATGTGCTTGGGCAGGCAATTTTATCTTTTAATTAAAACTGACGCGTCTGCTCCTTTTATTTTTTCGAGGGTAACACACCACCTCACACACACACACACACACACACATAGGTACATTAATTAAGCGTTGTGTTTTTCACATGCCACACGCCAAGGCCAGCGTAAAAGTTAAAACCTCAACATTTGTTTTATTTGGCTGACTCGCATTAAATATTCGCTGCCCTCAAGTGGTTTGAAAGTTGAAAGTGGGCGTGGCAATGCCACTAATTTTGCACAACTAAATTGCAAAGGGCTGCACAATGGCCACGAGCGGAACGCCGAGGGGTTCAGGGTTCAGCGAAAGGCTAATTGATTTCAAGCATTTTGGCCTTTGCATATGAAGCATGTGGCAGCTGAAGTCCATTTGCGGCAATTATGCCAACAATTGGAGGTTAATTGGGTAATATTAAAGATGTTTCCAAGAATAGGACGCAAAAATTCCGACTGATTTTTAACCATTTCTCACACAATAATCAGTCTCTAAAGAATATGTTCGGAAGTAAAGCAAGCATTTTCAGAACGCTTTTAATATTCCAAATTATTAGGTTGATACAGCTTAATGGGTTTAACTGTCCCAAATTTTTTGACTCGAAAAATAGGGCAGCTATCCTTAAAGTGCAAATAAGTTAAATAAAATTTCTTTTGATTTGGGATTTTTGTAAAATATATTTGTTTAATTTTTAGCTATTTTTTAATTTGTTGTGTTTTATTTATTGAATAAAATAAATAATTATAATTAATGCGAATTTAGGCATTGAAACAGTTAAACACATCATACTATAGTACGTTAATTAAATCGTTTTCTTTTCCTTCAGTGTAAATTTTATAGTCTATATTTATTATATCGAATGTGTCCTTATATAACTCGGTCAATATTTTATGCTCGTTTTTCTTTGTTTGAGTAATACACTAGCACGTTGCTTTCTCTCAGTGTATAAACATACAAAAGCAGAATATTTTAAGAAATTTATTTCGCCATGGACTAAATCATTGTAGATGATGTGTGTCAAATGTTAAACTCTCTGTCAGCTTAAGCATTTAAGGCAAACAGACCAGGTCTTAATAAATTTCAAACCGAATTCCCGCTTTCATAGCTTGAGTCATACAAATTATTAACCGTTTCGTAACGTTAGTCATCAGCCTTATATATAGTGTACATATATGAAGAAAATATTTACCAATAAATCAAACAATTTACATTTGCTTCTTTTAAATGTTTATTGATATATGTATGTATATATAAATTTATATATATTCATATTCGCACTATAGCACATCTATATCTGTCTATCAAATTTTCCAAATTTGATTCTAAAATTAATTTTCTCTCTTCTCTCTTCTATTTACAGGTAAGCAATGCCCATGCAATTGATAAGTACAGAAGCTCTGCTTCTCCCTTATTTACTAGTAAGTTATTCTGTTTACTTCTTTCGAATTTCATCATCAATATGCTCTTTTTGGGCCAACAAAATGTTCTCTTTGTTGTAAATATGCCTGATTCGAGTATTTTTTTTATTTACTAGTCAAGTTAACGACCATAGAAGAGAGCAAATAGATCGCAAATAAAATATACACAGCGCACACTCACACATGTGCATGTGTATCTGTGTATGTGTGTGTGTCTGTGTATGAACAAGCAGTTATAAATAATTTCTGGCAAAAAATCAGCAATTTTTTCCGTTGATCTCCAAGTATAGCGCGTTGGCACTCAGCCAAGGCGAATTGCGCATACGCCGTGTGGTCCGGCCTGACATTTGTGTGTGTGTGTGTGTGTGTGTGTGTGTATAGCTGCAGCTGTATGCGTGTGCCTATCTGACCGCGCTCTGGAGCGTGCTATTTGCTCTTAAGTGTGCGCGCTAAAGAGCGCACAGAAAACCCGTTTACTAGAATAGATAATAAACAAAATATTTTTCGCTTTGTAGCATGATTTTTGTTTATTTAGCTGGTTGTTGGCCAAAAGGCTTGTTGCATCTGCGGGTGCCATTTGCTACGCTAGCTTCGCCTCTTGCTGTCACCACCAATGATGACAGCCTTGTGCATTAAATCAAATATTCTGCAGCTAATGCTGCTGCCCAGCTGCCGAGCTGCCCAAAATGTCCAAGCTGCCAAATTGTTGTGTCACATTTTCATCAGCTGTTTGATGGCATTTATTATTTGCGCGCAGCTTTCTCTCTCCCTCTCCCTCTTCCTCACACTCTCATTAATTCACGTCTAATTAGTTTTGATTTTTTGTTTGGTTTCCATTGTCCGCAAAACAACAACAAGGACGTGACTTTGGCAAAGAACTTGCCCGAAGAGCCGCCTGTCATAGATCAAAGTGAAAAATGTCACAAAATCAACGAGCGCAAATAAATATTAGAAATTCGTTTGTATTTTATATATGTAAATGGAAATTATATATATACATATATATATATTGGTTGATAATTAGTTTGTGTTCTGCTCTCTTGCTACGTGTACAGCTGCTGCTGTGGCACTGAAAAATTGACTGTCAGGCATTTTAAGCGTTTTTCAATTACATTTCAACCTCACCCACACACACAGACAGCCCCAATATGGCGCTGCTCCAAATATACAAATTTTCCGACGTTCTTGACGGCTTGACCAAATTTGGTCGAGATGCGGAATCGATGCCGGCCTTACTGCGCCTCCGGCCACACAGTTCAACTTAATGCAATAAACACAAAATGCGCAAAACAATAACAAAAAGTTGCTCTTGTTGTTGTTGTTGTTGTTGTTGCTGTTGTTCTCATTGTTATGATTGTTGGCCATGTCGTTGTACTTTTAAAGCTCAGACAGCTTGGTACAATAAAAACAAAGCAAGACATGGCCAAAGTTGCAGCCAGGGGGGTGGCGGGTTGTGTGGGCCCGCAGGCGGCTAGCTGCAGGCTGCGAGGGACAGCATGCAACAAGCAGCACAGTTTTTCTTTGCATTTGGCCCCATGCCAAAATTTACAACAGCAGCAGTGGAGGAGGGAGGGGGGAGGATGTTAGCACGGAGCATGTTTTGGGTGCCCAGACCGGCTCTGGGCCTGACACAAAGGCGTCGGACTGTGGCCCGCCCGCTTGTTGTGCCAAATTTAAGACCGCTTGTCCCACAGCTGCTAAATGGAATATTTACTGAACTGCTGTCGTTGTGGCAAAAGGCCTTGGCAAGCATTTAACACTTCACTTTAAATGCAAAGGCGCAAATAATGCGACGCTTTTACGGAGAAAGCGTGTTTATGGAATGACCGACAAAGGATTGAAAAGTGCATCAAGATATTTATAAAGGGCGTAAAGTACATTAAAGTACAAAATATTCCATAGCTAAAACTGGACCGAGCTGCTGGCTGCCTGCAAAGCTTGTGTTATTTAATACCAATTGAGAATTTTTCAGAGCTTAACAGGAATCTGAACTTTTCAAAATATGCGTATTAAATTTCTTACAACAACGAGGCAACAGGCTCGGATCCCAGGCTAGTGTATTGATTTAGATAGTAGTATTGTAAAATTTGGTTTGGTAGCTTATTTATATTAATAATATGAATAATAATCAGTTACACCAAACCATTCCAAACACTGGACGACAGATTTTTTATGGCTTTCCTTTTTTTTATATTTTTCATTAACTAAATCTATGCAAATGTTTAGCACAGCAAAAATGGCTGCATTTAATAAAAAATTATTTTGCGTTTTGCAGCACTGAAGCTGTATGAAGTTGCCAGCACTTAATAAAAAGCAACTCTGATATTTATGGTGCCCCGGTTGACCGCAAAATATATTGTACATGTTATATTTGCATAAAGCTGCATAAAAGCTGAACGCCAAACGAAATTGTCTAAGCCGGCTTTTAATAAACTAAATTAAATGGTATTGAATATATCTCTGTTGACAAAAGAAAACATATTCGTTATGCCGTAATAAAAGGGAAGATAAACGACTCGAATAGCAGACAACTTCTTGAGAGCTTCATTTTTAATTTATACACGTTAGGGTCAGGCTATTCAATTGACCCAAAAATTAGCATGAATAAAAGATTTGTGTTTTTGAATTGTTCAACATTTATTTGATTTATATGTATTTCGATATTGTTTCGTTTTTGGTTTAATTAATCTGATTTTCATTGTTCAGCACTAGCTACACGTACAGTAAATTTCGTCCACACATCCTTCATTAAACATTATTTGCTAAAATTATTACATTTATAGATACTATATATTGTATAGGTTAGCTAAAAACTATTATTGTTCAAATTTATGCGTTTATATTTATTATTTTAATTGAATACAATTCAATAAAATGTTTTCTTTTCTTTTAATATATATGTTTCGGTTGCTCGGTTAATACGGTTTTGATTATTCGATAATACCATTTAAAATGTTCTTACGATATGAATACCATGTTTGCCAAGTGCCAAACAGTAAGTTCTGCTAACTATGCAAATAAAATGGAAAACTTTCGATACTCTTGAGAAAAAAGTTCAGTTTTAGGGCGAGTGCCACAATGCACTTGACTGGCGCTGCAATCCGAAAATGCAATTTAATTTAACTAAGAACTTTTCAATAACTTTGCCTATGCTCATATCAAAATATAAATGTCTTGGGCAGCAGATAAAACTTAAATTTCCATTTGGTCAAACAGCCAGCCATCTATTAGGCCACACACACACACACACACACACATACACACTCTTAAGCAGGCTGCAGTATATAACGAAAATTTAGCCACACTTTGAAGTTTTTGAAGTGAAACACTTTCCCAACCCTCGGCCATGTCAATCTAAATGTTTGCCCAGCCAAGGCCTCTAACTTTCATCCACTGGCCGAGCCTATTGTAAAGTCTCTCAGCGAATGGGGTCAAGTGTGTATATGGCGCTCAAGTGCTCAAGGCGGCACGAACAGCTCTGCCCCCACTGCCAGACGAATTGGCTCAACAATAAACTGTGCGGCGTGCCCAAAAAAAAAGCATAAAAAAAAGTAACAAAAAGCACTCAAAATGGGAAAGCGTGTGCGCTGGAAATCAATACAAAAAACTATAGCCCCTTGCCACGCCCAAATGCATTTGTGCCGGCTCATTGCCGCCAATGCAGCAGACCGAGTCGCGCGCAAAAAAGTAGGCAATGAAAATTTTAAAGCGCCCGCTTAAATTAATAATTATCATTTTATCAGCATGGACACAATTATTTTTGATGTGCCCCAACGACCGACTGAATGCTTAAATGCGGCAACGTGGCACGCAAATGAATTAAGTAAATTCGTTTTTTTATATTTTTTGCAATGCAACAGCGCTTCGCAACGTTGCAGCATGAACTTTGCGTGTGCGGGCTTCACATTTTGCGCGCCTCAATGCACGTCCTGCCAAGCTGCAGCTCCAGCTGCGTCTTATTGTGTCGCAAAGTTTCATTGTGCTTGAGTGTATTGTGCATTCAGGACAGCGCTCCCAAGACTACCGTAACTAATTAGCGCGCAACCTAGTTTATCAGCTCTTAGCGGGATTTTGTCTTTAGGCCAGCATGCGACCGGCAAGAAGTTTTCTTTGATTTTTAGCTTTAAGTTTTTCACAGTGGTGCTCATTAAATGGCAAGCCACAATGCCCCCTGACTTCTGTCCCTGGTGGCCACGAAACCCCAGGACCCCTAGACAAATATAATTTCATTGCGCTCGGCCCTCTGGGCGGGCGTTGGCTGGCGCTGGAATGCGTAAACGTTGACGATTAACTGCGCCATGAAAATAAAGCAAAATAAAGCGATTAGAACAATATACAAAAAGATATCTCGCAACATGGCGGGCCCCCTCGCACTCGCTGTGGTCTTTGCTCTGACGCAGCCTCTACTCCCTGGATCCGTGCTGTCTGTGACTGCTGAGCTCCTGCTTAACTGCTTAGCTGTTTCCAGCGGCTGGTCGCAGTCTGTATGGAGTGGTAGAGGTGAGCTATGTGGCACTCAGCCTAGAAGCGAACTCTCCAGATTGCATCTGCACCCTGTTGGTTGCATTGGTTGCTGTGGCTGCTGTGGTTGTGGTCTTGGTCTCCGTCCTTTCATTGCCTCATTGCCATGCATTTTGCTCGTGTCCATGGCAGAAGCTGCATGTCGGAATAGAGGAAAACTGAAATATTAGTATATAAAAAAGTCACAGATTCAGTGGGGACTGCATTAACAATTTCTGTGTGCTGTCACACAAAATATTTCAGATGCCCAAAAACAAATCTAGCCAAACATCTTGAAATGTTACCAACTCCCATGGATGCATGCGGCGCAATGCGTATACGCCGCGTTAACTGTCAGACTTTACGGAGTGAGCGGTCGGGCGGGCGGGTAGGGCGATGTCTATCGTGAAGCGATGCAGTGAAGCAACACCAAGGCAGCTGGCAACAAGATTCATCAGCATGGCAAAGATTCCTGACATGCAGCTGCGCACACATGTTGCATAATTACATTTCATGTTGCCAGCTGAAGCCGCATTTATAGTCGCATTTGTGCTGCATGTTGCCCAATATGTTCCCCAATGCGTTCCAAGCTGGCAGCAAAAAGTTCTACCCCCCAGCTGCATGCACATGTGGCGGGGGCGGTGGCGGGGAAATGGTACGGGTTTGATATTGTTGATGCGCAAACAAAGACTAACAAAGAACACATGGGCGAATGAAAATTGTAAAGATATTTATACGAACGAAATTTAAAACACATTTGAGATGCATTCTCTGAAAATTGCTTCAACATAAACTGAAGCTATATATATTGTAATAAATAAAGCTGCAGTTGTTTAATTTTTAATTGGGATCGCCTGCAAAAGTGAGCGTAAGGATTTAAGCTAAAATGTGCATAAATGCTGATTAAGGTATTTATATGGAATTTAAACGGATAAACTGGTGCCTGTTATACAAGGCACCTTTTGATAAAATGTATAAAATTTGATCCGTGCTTAAAAGTTTATTTATTATTTTAGTTGAACAGCGTTGCCAGCTGGAAGAAATATGCGTCAGCTGCCACCTGGGCGCAATAATTTGCCGTAGTAAATGATCTTTCAATATTTGTAGCTTAAAAATATATGGCCACACTGATTGCAATTAATTTCGATTTTTTCAGTTGCCAATAACATTAATTATCAATTGAAGAATTCACTTAAAGCTATGTTCACACAAAAAATCATATGTTTACAAATATATGCTAATAAGAAAAAAATCAATTATTTGTATCTCATGACAAACAAATGTTTATATTTTACGTAATTAGTTAAGGTCAACGATAGGCGTACATTTTTTTTGTTATTTTAACCTATTTATTATTTATAGAACTGTTTCCTAGTCAATCTAAAAAGCTTTTATTTAATTGTAATTAATTGTTACTAGCTACTTGGATATTTGGTTTGAATGAAAAGCTTTTGTATTCAATTTGCAATATCAAGCGATTACATAATCTATATATGTATGTAAATTATAATGGATGATTACAATTGAAAATTGTTTAGCTGTGGTTCTAATCATGCCTTTGAAATTCATTTGAGAACATAATAAATTGTTTCTATCTTTAATTATGGCACATTTTCGAAACAAATTACATGACAAAAACAGCAAAAATAAATGTGCATATAATTAAATGAGCATGGTGTTTTTCAAGTGCAGTGGAAAGCCGTTGAAAGGGGGCAAAGGGGGAAAGGCGGCCCTAGGGGCCCCGTGGCTAAACGGTTTGCACTCAAAAGCGCTGTAAACATCGCTGCACTGCATTCATATTAAATACGGCAACGAGTGTATTGAAATTTATTTGAGCGAATGCGCTAAAAGGACGAACTAGCAAAGCAAAAAGCACTCCAGCCGGCCCAACCCCCTCCCCCCTATGGATATCAGCTATCAACCATGCAGCTGCGGTGGCGAATGTGGTGCACCGACCCCCCCACCGCCCGAGCCACTATACAAATCTCTAGTTTGCGCTTATTTCTGTATAGAAATTCAATCAAGCGCTCGGCTGGGCGGCTTTCAATTAAACGCTTATCGCGCTCGTTGCAGCCGCTGCCGGAATCAAAATGGCCTCGGGCGGCGCAAGGGGCGGGGTAACTGGGTAACAAATACTTTTCTTGTACTTACGAGTCGAGCCAGTCTCGGGTGCCATTAGACATTAGACATTAGACATTAGAAATGTGAAAGGTTCGGCGAATTGGAAGAAAGCGCAGTAGGGATTGTGATACACATTAAAAAAGTTTTGGGCCAACATATTTTACAAGGCTGAGGAATTTTTGCGTCAACTTTTGCGCAACTTGCAATGGCAAAATGTTTAGGGACTCGTAGTGCGCAGCTGATGAATGCGCAACAATAAGCAAATGAAAAATTTGAGAATTAAGAAAGGAAAACAAGCAAGAGTTTGGCAGTCGGGTGCAACCGACAACCCAATGCTCGCTCGAAGTCTAATAAGAGATTATAAAAGGCTACACGCCCAATTTTTTAAAAGTTATAAGTTTTTTCCGATTCTTATCGATCTTTAAACGAGTTTACGACTGTGGAAGATAGTGGTTTTTAAATAATATTTATAATTATTATTATTTTCATTATTATTATTATTATTACTATTTTCATTATTATTATTATTATCATCATCAATAATATTATTTTCATTATTATTATCATCATCAATACTATTATTATTATCATGGTTATTTTCTTTATGTTTTATTTTCATTATTGTTTTTATTATTATCATCATCAATATTATTAGTATAACTATTATTATTATTAATATTTAAAATATTAGTTGTCGGATTTTTTTTTTCATTATTATTATAATCGACAGTAAAGAATACATTCGTATATTATATATATATATATATATATAGAGAGACCATAGACTAGGCTGTGACTTTAACCCGGATCCTCGTAGCTGAGATGCCCGAATGATCGGGTTGCTTAGCATGCATCTTCAGAACGATCTTCGGAGGAGCTCAACAGTAGACTTGAATTGCAATTTACCACGCCTCCATAAAATCTTAAGGCTTGCCCTGACGTGGTTACAGACTTATATATAATTATGCCAAGTTTCAAGTTTCTTAGTATTTCAATAGAGGAGAAAGAGAAATGTGAATACAGAGACGGGCGGACAGCAAGACGGACACGGTACAATACCAATAAACTCTTTTATTTTTTTGGGCATAGAGTAGAACAAAAAAAAGCCCAAAGCAAATAGAGCGTGTCATAAGAACAGCATGACTCGTGTCTGGGCTGCTAAAACCATTCATAAATTAGACGTCAAAGCCCGGGCTTTGACAGCAATAATACACACACCAACCCACACACACACGCACACGCACACACACACACACACACACGAACAAGCACACAAACGTGCTACTCATATGTAAAAGGGTCAAAAGTGAAAATAACGCACAGCTGAGACGGTCGAATGTGAGCGATTGGCAACAGCCACAAGCAGAGCACAGAAAAAAAGAGTTGTGCGTTGTGCGAATGTATTAACACACATTCTTTTTTTCTGGCCTAAACTAAATAAATTGGCCAGCGGTTTGGGCACTTGTCGGGCCGTGTTTAAGGCCATCAATTTGGCCAGCACAAATGCAAATGAATGTTAAAATTAACTGCCCGAGCTAACTGTCCACAAAAGTCAATGGAGCGTTTAATATCCTGCAGCGTTGACAGCTAAATTTGACATATCCTGGCGACTTATCGCAACAAACTCCCCACTTCTGCCACACACTTTCTGTTCACTTCTTTTTTTGTGTTTAGCTTTATTTGCATTGCCTGAAGCGCAGGCAGTTGCGTGTTTTGTTTTCGTAATCGCACACACAGCTAAGGCTAACTCACACATGTGTAGACACACACACACACACACACACGACTCGCGGCATAAACATAAATCTCTGACAGCCGTCCAGTTGCCCCGCCCACAAGGAAGCTGTTCAACTCATTACAACTCGCCTCAACTGGCATTCATTCATGGCGCGCATTTCATTCATACGCACCGTTGTACGTGGATGCCACATGGCCGCATATCTGCTTGGCCAGTTGCCTCTGCTGCTGCTGTTGCTGCTTCTGCTGCTGCTTGTAGCTGTATAAATATTTTGGTAGCACGCACTTTGTCTTTGTAGCTGTTGCGTACCGTAAAAATGTCTGGAATTTCACTAACGAGCGAGCGGCATTTGTGTGTTTTTTTTCGATTTGCGGCAACTGTTTGCGGCACTTGTGGCGTATGCGCAATACTCGGTGTTATTTCCGCGTTGCGTCTGCTTCAACGTTGCTGGCGCGACTCAGCTCGTGCGTCGGCTGAGCTGCTGTCTTATAGTCCTGGCTGTGCCGCTGCCGCTGCCGCCGCCGCAGCCGCTGCCTTTGCTTCGGCTGCGCATTCGTCTCGGGCATCGGCGCTGCAGTGCGTCGGCTTTGTCGAATCTTTGCCATTTGTTTGTGTGTCAAGTGCGAATGCATGTGGAAATTGTTGTCCAGCCGCGTGCACAGAATGTGGTCGCTTTGGGCTTCAACTGACAACAACAACAACAACAACACCACCACACCCATTGCTTTATCAGCCGTGTTGTGCTTGTCACATCGTAATGCAAATATTTAAAATATCCCCAACGCTGAGCAGCAAAATGTTGACACTCAGCTAAGCTGCCCCCACTGCCTGTAATCCACAGATCCCTCAAATCCCCAGTGACCAAAAAAAAATGCTCGCTGATACTTTGACGCATGGGGGCACAAGGCGCCTGATGATGGCAATCAACTTGGCTGCCGCCGTAAATGTTGTTCTTGTTGTTGTTGTTGCTGCTGTTGCTGCCCTCAGTTGGTGCGACAAGTAAAGAGGAAGGCCTGGGAGCTGGCCCGTTTGGCAGGCCAGACATCAGCACAGTTTGTTATTATTTAAATCAGGAAGTTGAAGAAATTTCCGCTCCACACACACACACACACACAGACGCACACACACACAGAGAGACAGCAACAAATTGGCAGTAGGCCTGGCAGCTGGCGCTCGACACCAAAGTCTAGCTTCGTCCTGACGTCGTCGTCGTCGTCGTCCTGGCTTCCGTTTCGTGTTGTGCGCTCCGTTTCCCTTTGACTATTACGTGCCAGGCAAGTCGCCGAGTCGCCAAGTCAATTAAATTTTTGTTTAAGTGATTTCAGCAGCCATAAAATATCATCAAGCTGGAAGATTGCGTCCAATCTAATGAGAAATCGATGTGTCCCACTCAATTTGTTCAAATCCAATTGGAGCGTTGGTCGCGCACCTGGCCTCCCAATTGGCATGCACATCCTGGCCGCCTGGCGGCCAGCCTGTCGGGCTATTTAATGAGTTTTTATTGCGTTTTGGCTGTTTTGATAGCTGCGATTTTTAACTTGATTTACGCGCCTTTCAGTCCCACTATTGATTTTACAATTAAGCCAGGCCTGCTCTGGGCGTGGGCTGGGCGAGGGGGCGGGGGGCGTGTTGTTTGCCTCAATTTTACAATGCATATTGCATGTTTTCGCGTGCTTTGCGCATTTGTTTGCGAAATGTCTTATAGCCAGAATGTGCTCGCATACGTTTGTTTGTTTTTTGTTTGAGCCTCCTTTGTAGCAAGTTTAATGCGCCGCATCCTGTGCCTGGCAATGGATCCGCCTATTTGTAGTTGTGGCAGCAGCGTCGGGGCGCAATTTATGCGGTAATTGCTTTTTTAAGCGCTTCACATTTATCTTTTCGACACAGCTGAAATGAGTTTTGGCGCTGCCTGTGCGAGCGCCGCTTTTGCGTGTCTTTCTCGATTTCCCTGCAATATTAACAACAACAACAACAACAACAGGGACAACAATAATAGAAGTCAGCAGTAACAAGATCTAGCTGAACAATGACAACAATGCAAAGGACTTCAGTTCAACTACTTACAATGGCATTTTTATGACATCTTCTATTTGCTAGCGCCTCGAGGTATGCAATGGAAATGCCAGCCGACTTTTGGCATTTCGCTTGCCCTTGTTGCTGTTTGCTCAACATTTTACCCTAATTAATTAAGCGCAATTCAAAAACAGTCAAAAATGACAGAAAAAAACATCGCAGATAAAAATTAATTTGATATGAAAAATTGTGAGAAAAACTTTTTGATTTATGCGCCTTACTTGTGTCGCAGCTGCGAGTATGAGTGGGTGTGGGCGTGTGGGTGTGTGTATGTGTGTATGTTATAGCCGTAATATTATATAATTTTATGAGCGAGCGCAAAGTGGCCATAAAAACAGCTCTTAATTAAAGTGAAAGCGTTTTTGACTGCCCTGCGATTAGAAAAATTATTTTTCAGCTCACTTTCGATGCGTCAACCAAGTAGTTTTCATACAAATAAACAGATACTTTCAAATTTCCAGCGCATTTAAAACTTTGGCGCGCAACAGGCCGAAGTGCCTTCTAAACTGCGCTTAGTGTGGCAAATGAGTTGGCAGCACTTGTAAATGTTGCCACAATGACGCTATCTGGCAACTCCGCAACTCGAATTTTTTCGATTATTATCTTCGATATATGCAATCGCTGCTCAGTAGTAAAATTAAACCTGGTTTGTTACACCTTGTTTGTTACTTTTCTGTCAAACTTCGTCGTTGTTGCTCGCCGTTTCGCGCTGTTAGTAACGTGTTCACATAAAACAATTGCGCTGGCTGCAATTTGTTAACAGCGGCATATTGTATCGCAGCGCGTTCTACTTGTACCGAGCTCGAGAGAAAAAACACAACAAACACAAATTTTGTAGGCCACAGCGGATTTCGATTCGTTTTGTGTGTGTCACGCCCAAACACAAGAAACAGAAATTAAAAATAAAAAAACTCCAGTTAATTGTGGTGCGTGTGGCGACTGAAAAAGTGCAATAAAAAAAATTTACAAGAAATTGTGCGGCAAGCAAATAAAAACGAGACCTTGACAGCTGTAAGAGACTCACAAAAAGAAGGCAGTATAAAAAACGCAATGGAGGTTAGTAGTATTATTATTGTTGTTGTTGGCCAGATCTATATGACAATAGCTTTTTGTAGTTGTCAATTTAAATGAATTTTTCATTGATGTTTGCTGTTTTCCTTGAATGATTTCATTTCATTTATTAATCGACAACAACAAAACTATGACATTCCCTTTTCCCCGTTCACTCAGTTGAAGGCGGTGTGTGAGAGCCAGACGGGCAACGATAACGATTACGTCAGTGCGCGCTCTCACACAACACACACCCGCTCTCTCCTCCTCGCTCTCAAATTTGAGTTCTGGAGTTTGCGCTCTGGGCGTTTGCTTATGCGCTCTCCGCTTTTGTTTTTGTTGCTACACGCATAGGGTTCGCTTCGGGTCGACGTCATCTAACCCCATAGGCTTAGGCATAGGCCTGTGCCTGGACCTGGACCTGGGCCTGGGCTTATTATTGATTCCGAGAACCGGCTATAAATTAAATCGTATTATTATATCATGACAGAGGCGCTTTCTTTTTCTGTTTGTTGCTCAATCATAGTTTTTATATAAAACTTCGCATAATTTTTAATATGTATTATCAAATTTGCATTTTATATAATTAACAGCTGTTTATTGTTTCTGTTGCGCCACGATTATCAGCGCTCGAAATTAATCACCACACTTTATTGACGTTGACGGCAACTGTTTACCCAGTCATATGGAGATATAATCCATGAATATGAATATTGATTAACCCGCCGCCCACCCACGTATCGGTTATAGATAAGCGACATTTGGGCTGTAACTATGAGTAAAACCTTCAGATAAAGCTTTGGATTGTTTTGATTGTCCACCTTTCCCAACAAATTAAAAATTGGCTTTAAGCGTGTTTAAGCTTTTTATACCAGTTAATTGCATTGTTAGCCCTTTCTCATCCAATCCCCTAATGCTTAAACCGCGCTTTCTTTCCCCCCGCAATTAAATCCTTTGCCAGATGAGCACTTGGACGCCCACGCTGAGGCATCAGAGCGCATTAAGTGTCTTCTTTAAGCTGAGTAATTAATCGCCTTTTGTTTTTTTCTTGTTTTACCATTTGACGGCCGTCAAAGCAAAACATGAAAAGCCCCTCGAAATAGGGGCAAATAGAAAAAACAACGATTGTCGGCCAACATTGAAATTGGCCATTTCCGGCATTTAATTGACGTTGTGCACACGAAAAATTGTCGAACAACAAATGGAACTAGTTTGCCCAACGAGCATGTTGGATGGTTGTGTTCCGCAGATTGAAATGATGAGTAAACGCGGCGGATTATATGTGGGCCATAAAAACAATTATAGAACCACAAGTACATATAAATTTATACTAAGGGAAAATAAATAGGTGCATATACTATTGTACATTAACAGAAATATAGAAATAGGTCACACATATTATTAAAAATATTTTTAAAGCGGGAACTATGTACTAATCTCCGAATTGCTGATTGACTGAGAGTCAGTATAAACAGAATAAAACTATATCGTCTTTAATCGGCACTGTGACTAGAGAAGGCACATAACTTTATATATACGGAAATAGACTGAAAATAGAGCCCGTTAATTCATCTAACCTCCCTTCAAAATAATAATCTCACCTGATGCTGCTATATTAATTGCCTAACCCGAAATTTGTTTGCTTATGCTATTAGCTATGGACATAGAATGAAATCATCATTGTTAAAATAAAGTCAACCTTGATGCGCAACTAAATGCTAATTGAATACAAGCACGGCGAACACCTCGTCCAAAATATGTCTGGCAGTTAAATGAAAAAGTGGGAAATCGCCAGCTAATGCCGTGAGACGATTAAAGCTCTTAACATTTTCTTTTGCCTGTTGCCTCATACTGCCAGCCAAACTTTGTGCAAGTTGTTAGCCACTTAAATTTCGCTGTTAACAACATTGTCAAGAAAAAGAAAAAAGCATCTAAGCGCATCCCAGGCAAAAGCCTTAAGTGTTATCTTTTTTCCTTCAGCATTATTTTGGGGCTTGAGACTTAAGGGAGTTTTGTGGCTGTGGAAGTTCCATGGAAGGCAGCTGGCTGGGCATTTTTTGTTATTACTTGTGAATTTAGCTGGCTTTATGCTTATTTTCATAAATTTCCACTTATTCATCT